TAAGAAAACTTAAACTTTTCCACCTTTACACTATTACAATCGGCTTTAGTTTTGTCTTGTATATAAGACAATACATTAGAAGATGTTTGATCAGGGGAAAGCCGAGAAACAAAAATTTGTTTCTTTAGTGGAACCACTGAAAGGGATTTTGGTGGAGCAGACATTGTTTCTGCTAAACCAACTTGAGCCGGTGTCCGGCCTCAGTAGTCCCTTGTGGTGGTGATGCTACATTCTGAGAGATAGGTGGATCCACTAATTGTGAAACCACTACGGACAAATCGGAATTCTTAGAAGTCCCTGGTTGCATGTATTATGTAACGGATTGTTCGGATACCGAATCTTTTTTAGCTGCTGATCTTAGCAACATTTGAGGGTTTGATGAAATCAGCTGCTGATCCGCCGGAATGCTCTGTTGTTCTTTTGATTTCGGTTTTGGGGTGTTCCCCTTTTGCTCCTTACCACCAGCGGCCTTTTTGCGCTTAGGGGACTCTTCTAATAGCTTACGACTATTAAACTGCGAGTCCAGCGCAGAGAGGAGATCATCAGCTCGGCGAAAACTATCTCTAGCAACTCCGAAACAGCTAATCAGCCCCATCAGGCCGCCTTTAGTTTGGCGCATGAACGATTTCATCTCGTTCACAACCTCGACACAAGCGTCACAACAAAACTGCAAATTGGGCCCCTTTGAAAGGTCATCACTTGTCCGGCCAGTAAAACCGGCGCACTTGGTGTGCACCATATTTTCACACAGCCAGCAAGTCATATTAGACTAGTATTACGAGGCTGCATTTTTTGCAGAAGCAGACTAAATTTTTATTATTCATTTTATCTATTGGGACCACTGTACCAAGAAAGCGAATTGAAATTTATAAGCGAGCAGTTATAAGTACCGCAAGAGCGCAGAAACTGCACGCTTAGAACTTTCAAAGCAAAGAGAGCAAGAGAGCGGCAGCGTAAATAAGTTAAAGTGCATGCACAAAAGAGAAAAGGCGGGGATATAAGAAAAGAAAACACAGATAAGAATTACGAAAAACTAAAACACTTTATTAGTATTAAATACAAAGTGCACTCGCGAAGCGAACGGAGTTTAAATTTATGTTTGAATAACCGGAAGAAAAGTAAAATTGTTTTGATAAAACCCACCGATGGGAATAAACGAAAACAAAATACAAAATTCGAAGCGCAGAAAAAAACACGACCGTTCACTTTGAAAGTCAGATACAGCCAATATACATTTTTGTTGTTTCTAGCTGGTTCCAGTTCAACAAAGAATATATCCCCCTGTTCGCTTTCCCATTTTCACCAGGGGGTTGAATACATTCCGAGGGTTGTGTCCCAGAGCTTTAAGTTTCGCAATAATTTCGGCTATTTCAGTGGAAGCGTGAAGTCCCTTGATGACGACTCGAAAGGCTCGTTCATTTTTAAACTGAAAAGTGCTGACAGGAATTTCATTATCCTTGAAAAGCTTCTGGACTACACGGTAAACATTGCCGTCATCCACAGTAGCCCTACAGGAAGATTTACCAGTTGTCACAAAAGATAGTAAGGGAATTAGTTGCCTAAAATCAGTGATTCCCCTCAAAAGGAAGGGTGGCGGATGGGGATCTCGTTTCTTGGTTTTACCTTGAGAAGAGGCATTGCGTGGGGACACCAAATGCAAGGGTTTGGCAGCGATAATTTATTTATATTACTACCTCCGAGTATGTCAAGATTTCGTCTTTTCCTTAGGTTATTTACCTGAGTAAAGCGTTCTTCATCGGCAGAATTCTTGCTAATTCACTTGGGGGTAAAAATGGTCGGGACAGATGAGGTGTCTAAATAAATGGAATCATCAAATTCATCAGAAGTATCTAGCCTTGGCATTCCTAGAGGCTTTCATAACAGCAACTTTAGCAGCTTCGTCTGTATTGATTGGTGGTCGCGTGACTTGGTCCTTAGCAAAGACCGAGTGCTTAGCCACATGAGAGTCCTGATTGGTTTCACGACAACCTTTCGTCGAGATGGCTTGAAATTGGAAGACATCTTTTTTGGGAACTATACCAGTTCTTGCGTAAGGAACTGAGAAAATAAAGAAAAAGAAAGTTTACCGAGCAGGCCGGCTGCTAACCGAAGGCAAGGCCGGCAAATATTTTGTTAAGAAAGTCAAAAGAAAAATCGTAAAGACACAGTAAAACAAAATTTTGTATAACATTTTTTTTTTAAGTACTGGAGCTCTGAAATAAACACAACCGGTTAGTCTGACACATAAGTCGAGACTTCGGGGTAAGATGGTATCGACGTTTTCCCCAGTTCTGTTTTGGCACAATTTCTGGTTACAACGAACCCTAAGTATTCGACGCTTTCTTTAAAAACCTTAGTTTTTTTTGAACATTCTCATGTTAGCGTCGCACAGGCGCTGAAGTATGATGTCAATGTGTCGAATATGATTGTTTTCGCCGTTCACGGAAAATTAAGTCTTTTCATGATCTTTCGGCTCTGTAGATCTAAGGGTAGACTGACTTTATTTTTAATGTAGTGAAAACCTTGAAATTTCCCAAGATAGCGTTCCCCGATGGTTCGTTCGTTTAACTTCCTGAAGTCAATAACGAGCCTCTTGTTTATGTTGCCATTGCTATTCAACCCTTTCCTATCTACTACCCAAGCCGTACTGTTGTAAGCGAACCGAGACGGCCTGATAATGCCATCATTTAATAATTGATTTGTATCGTTGTTGTCGAAATCTGCTACCCCATTTGAGTAAGGGTATAGTTTTGAATACACCATATTATTGTCTTCCGTGGTTATTGTGGTGATGATTGAAGTATTAAAAGGTAGAGGTCGAAAACGCCTTAATTCTTTTTGATCATACCCTAACTGCATTAGGGGCTTGACTTTCCCTAAAAACTTCAGTAGGTCGTTGTCACCTAGTGAATCATTCTCTTCAGCTGCAGCCACGTTCGCGTATTCTCGATCTTCCTGGCCCGACGCTTTTGAGACATTTGCCTCGCGGGCAAAAACCAATGCAGATGAGTCATGACGATTTTGTTCGTGACGAGGGTCAGTTTTTTTTTCCACCTCGTCATGGTACTCTATTAGGTTTAGGTCGGCTTGCCGATCTGGTGATAATTGCATCAAAATTTATGGTCAGCGTCGATTGTATTTTCTGTTTGGCAAATTTGAGGTCTGAATCCTATTTCTATGATCTCGTCGTCACTTTCGTGTTATATTTTATCTTCCCTATATTTCCAACTCATTGACGGCTAACCGAGGGATTTTTTGTATTGATACAAACGGCACTTTAAAGTATTGTAAGGATATGTTTTATGGGATTCAAGTCCGATGATTAAAGAGCTGTTTTTAACTTTTGCAGTGATGTAATAGCCACTCTTGCACCAAATACGAAGAATGTTTCGGGTGATTTGTGATTTGCAGCTAATTATCCCGTTGTTAAGAATTTTTGGATTACACTTTGTATTATGACCTATCGTTTCAAAAAACACAGCGAAATTTACAAAAAAACAAGAAACATTGCTAGATCGATTCTCCTTGTGATTCTCATAAAAAATATATTTACTTTATGTCGGAAATTTCTCCTTCACTGCGTTGCAAACTTTTAAAATTAAATAAATTATTATACCCTCTGCAGGGGTATAGAATAGACGGAAAACACAACAAAAATTCAAGAATATTCGACTGCAAGAACGTGGTGAATTAAAAAAAAATGTTAAATTTAAATTTTATTGTTTCTTAATTTTTTTGTACACCGGCAGACTCGTCTTGAAAGGGTGAATGAGAATATCATTTATAAGCTCTTTCCTGCAAATAAGTTTTTTGAATTTTAACTGCTTATCAACAAACCCAGCTGATTGATAGTACAACCGTAGCACATTCAATTCTGATGAAGTCGTTTTTCGATCTGAGTACTAGGCTTAAACTTATAATATGTAGGTCATTTACATATTTGGTGATAAATTAATACTGATATTCTTTATACTGCCAGCAGTTTTTTCTTAAATCAATTTGAAACTAAAAATGTAAATTTATTTGGTTTAGAAATTACAATTGTAGATTCTTCTAAACTATAGTACTATGTATACTTTAATGGTATACACTACTCTACAGTTTATTTTGAGAACAAGCTTATTAAAATTAAGCTTTCGGGTTTTCCACAGAAAAGAGTAGAAGATAATAGAAAAATCTGAATAGCCTCGTTCTGTTTCAACATATTTGCATATAGTCGTCACAACATGGATTGTAGCTTTATGCTTCATTCGCTCTTTTTGCTTGGCACTGACTTGATTGACCAAGCCTTTAAAATTTAATTTTCTTTTTGTAAACCCATGCAGAGGGTAATATTTCCTAATAACTTATAACTATATTAAACGAATAAATATATTCAGGCCAATAACTATATTAAACGAATAAATATATGCTGGCCAAAATCTTGTTATAACTGCTAGGGTAAGCTTTTGCTTCTTTTCTTTTTTTTTATACCCTTACAGATGGTATTATAGACATTTCCGACCCTATAAAGTATCAGCATCACCAGGAGTGTCGTTAATATTGAAATACTATGGAATTACGGTCTTAATTAAATAATAATCGAACATCTCTATCATAAAGCCATTAAAATCAGAAAATTGAAAAAAATAAAAACTAAAAAAAATTATTTTGCTGTTTTCTATTTATCAAAATATTTTTTTGAGATATATTAATTATTTACTATATCAGAATTACGCTTTTAGTTTTGTCAAAATCGGACAACAATATCATATGGCTGCCACAGAAATGATAGCATAATGCAGCGCAAAATCGACATAGCTTCATTGTTTTTAGTAATATAGTAATAACTTCAAGGGTATAAAAAATAAGCTTCGGCTGTTTACTAATAATTCATAGAGTCAGTATCGGTTCATTCCTTTCATACATGCCCAAATTGTTTAAAAGTACGGAGCTTATAAACTACAAATTTTTAAAAAAATAATAAATTCAGTAATATGAAATTTTTTACTTTATTTCAGAACATTGTTGAAATTAATGAATACGCTGTTTCCGTCATAAATCCTTTGGCTCGCCACATTCCCAAAAAAATGTTTATTTTTGATAGTGCTTATAATATGATAACAAATACTGATGAGATTTATAACGAAATGTGCTATTCATTAGTAGAGAGTACTATCGACGGATATAACGGAACTATTTTTGCGTACGGCCAGACAGGCTGTGGAAAAACACACACAATGCAGGTACAAGTGTTACAATACATATGTAGTATAAACGAAACTCATTTATGAAAAGAAAATATGATACATTTACTCAAAACATAATTCAAAACAAGAGAGAACGCTTTAGTCGAGTGCCTCGACTATTAGATACCCGTTACTCAGCTAAACAACTTAATATAAATATGCCTTCTTGTGTTTTTTTTTTTTTTTTTTTTTTAACGTAATGTGAATTATAGTGACCACAGGAAAAAAGGACAAAAAGTTCAAATTATCAATTTGAATTCGGCGATCTCTTAGTGCTGGCAGCTTCACAGCACGAGCATCAGCACCAGCGCTGCTTTAGCGCAGGCAGCTTTTGTCCTGCACCAGCAGCTGTGTTTTTTGAGTGCAATAAATTGACTAATTGATACGAGTAACGGGTATAGCGAATAGCTTTCTTTGAAAGGAGTTATCTTTGCCGGGCAATTGCAACTGTGTACAATGTAAATACATACATATGTATAGACCTCCAATTTGGCTAACTAGATTTGATTTGCACAGTTCTTGGGATATAGTTCGGTATTGACAAATGAAAACCATCGCAATTTTCTTTAATAGAAATCCTTATCGAGAATTAACGTTGACTCTGTTGAGCACCTTGGCCAGCTGTTCCAAAGTCATCCGTTAGATGGCGCCATGAAAGGAGGAAATGTAGGCGCTAGCCAGGCTTAAGCGTTTAATGGGTTTTTGGGCGTTAGAGTGGGCGTGGCAAACTTTTATTCGGCCAATCGATATTTATTGACGAAACTAATACATATCAATATCATCAAAACTGTGGCCACAGCCTGTGGCTTGTGGGCGTCAGAGGGGGCGTGGCACCATTTTTAAAACAAACTTGCGCTGCGGAAGAACTCCTAAAATCTACATGCAAAATGCCAATCTTCTAGCTTTTATAGTTTCCGAGATCTCAGCGTTCATACGGACGGACATGCAGACGGACAGACGGACATGGCTAGATCGACTCGGCTAGTGATCATGAACAAGAATATATATACTTTATAGGGTCGGAAACGCTTCCTTCTACCTGTTACATACTTTTGCACGAATACAATATACCCTTTTACTCTACGAGTAACGGGTATAAATATAATACGACTAGAGCACACGGCGAACTTTGTCTCGCCCCAATTTCACGACTTCATATAACCCCAGAGTAATAATAAACACTGGTAATTCAAATTTCATAAAAATTTATTTGACTCGAAATCAGTGGAGAGCGATATGATAAACAATATTTTTTGTTTTGTTATCCGGTGCAAAAATAAATAATGATGACGGCTTTCCCACACGCGAACAGGCTACGTATAACTGCCCATGTGAAAAACATTGATATTCCAGATTAATCCCGCAGACATCCAACGATTTGCCTTGCGATTTATTAATTGTCATCGCAAATGCCAATCGAACTGGGAACTGAATCCTCTTGAATTGGAATGAAAGATCTGTTGGAATAATCGGAATTCGTAGGATAAGAACTTCCTCTCCTTTAAATTTGCCCTTAATAATCGTCGCATGAATCACGTTGTTCATCAGTTTATTAACGGACAACCGCGTACCGTTGCATAATCTCGGATGATTTAGATTCCGCAGCATTATAATAATTGATCCCACTTTCAGTTGCAAATTATGCGGCGGAGTTCCAGTGAGTTCAAAAGTTCTGTCGGATAGTTGGTCGCTTCATCCTCGTCGGTCACGCTGTCAACGGATCTGTATGAATGCAGTTCTCCAGCGATTTGACCTTGAATAACGAAATTCAAACTATCTACGTCTTTATTCTTCGCTGCTAGTATTGCCCGTTCACTAAACCAATCGAGATTTTTATAATTTTGTGCAATGTCGGGAAACACTTTTGTGATGAGTTCCTCTTTCGACGATGTGAACTCGCAAAAATTTGCTGGGAACGATATTAGTCCAGTCGAAACATCAACAGGAATTTCGCCATTGCCAAGCGCCAGCAGTTGTCTCGAGAATTCAGCAGCGGATGGGTCACTTTGCAATGCGACTCTCATATTCGTCGACAATTAAAACTACTTGACATATCGTCACAAAGAGGACGATTTTAGGCATGCATTAACTTCATCGGCAGCCGTAGATTTCGGGATGACCGGAAGCCTTTGACGAAAATCTCCGGACAGCAATATCAAAGCCCCCCCAAATAGTTTCGAATCACCTCGTAAATCCTTCATCGTTCGGTCAACTGCCTCCAAAGCTCGTTTATGCGCCATCGTGCATTCATCCCAAATGATTATTTTGCATTCTCGCATCAATTTCGCTGTCACCAAATTCTTGCTCATCGTGCACATGGGTAGCTTCCAAGCGGAATGTGCAGTTCGACCGCCTTCCAACAATGTAGCAGCAATGCCAGATGATGCAACAGCCAACGCAATTTGAGATCTTGACCGAATCGTTGCCAGAATCACATTTGTTCGGACTCTTTCGGCCAGGTTAGTTTGATCAAAGTGGTGCTCCCGTTGAAACTCGCGATTGAAAGCACCGTGCATTGAACGATCTGTATTAACGCTTCGTTGCGCTTTTCTTCGGTAATGGTAAATTTATCAGTTGTCCTGCGAACCATGTGGTCCTTATAGTTGTGCCACAGTGCGGTCGGGTTCGACAAATGACATGTGGCTATGATTATTGCAAATAATGATTGGATTTGATTCGTTGACGCAGAAACAATGGCATCGGCGAGCGTTGAATCACAATGAGCATCGTTTTCGAGCAAGTTAAAACGTTGGCAAGCCTCCCGAAAACTGGCGCACAGCACACCATCCACAGTACGCAGGGACTCGAAGGATGTAGGGCCTCTAATGTTCACCAAAGGCAAGCGAAGATAGAAGCGTTCGTCTTGGCGTGGATGATTTGTGTATATTCGTCCGAGCGCATCAGTCGAATAGACACCAGCGAAGCCAGCAACAGCATCACTTTTCTTCTGGCGTTGAAACTTCTTCGATGCAGCGTTCCATGTGGCATCTCTGAATAGTGTAAAGTCCTTGCGAACGGATCGCCTTCGCATGTCGAAAAAAAATTTGTCAACGTTGTCGCTGGTGGCCGTTCTGCTCTTTGAGCTGCGTTCGCGTCTGTAAAGTAGACACGCTGGCCGTTCTCCAAGTGAACAGATAAGTGCACGACAGTCGGGTGGCGTTCATGAATCGGAAATGAAAATTGCCGCCAAATGGCTTCGTTACAACTAACGTAGCGTCCAAGTTGAAATTTCCATAGGGAAATGTGCGCATGTGGTAAGCCACGCTTCTGCCACTCAACCGAGTACATCCAACAACTGCGCCAAAAACCTTCTGCTTAACGATGTAATTCATAAGTACTGTAATCTTTTGCTTGAATACTCGTGCAGTGATGCCAGGTTGATCGCTAGATGTTTGTCCTGGAAGCAACAGATTCGTAATTTCGGGCCATTTCGGATTGCATGTGAACGTGATGAATAAATCCGGGCGTCCGTAATTACGGACATACGTCATCGCATCTTGAGCGTACTCATGCATATGGCTCGGGCTTCCAACATAAGTAGCTGGGAGAATGGTGTCCTTCAGTAGCGATGGCGTCACGCAAGTGGATGTACTCGTCTGAACGCAACTTCGACTGATTGAAACGAATGAGATTGAGACGCACCGTTTCTACTTTGACGTACATGTCGACACAGTACTGTTGAAACAAACGGCGGTATCTCAATAGATGATTGTCAACATCTAGTCGAATCATCAATCCATACGCATAAAAATTCATATAGCTGACCTTCTTATTCGTTTCTTCTCCTAAAATTTGAATTCAAACTTAGTTGTAGAATCAAAAAGAAGTAATGACTTGTAAACAATGTTGAAGTGATCTTCTCCACGACAGAACATCAACGGGTATTGAAGTGCATCATATGACCGATGAGTCTCATAAACTCGCTGCAATTGGCCATAATCCCGACGCTTGAGAACAATATCGCGTGATTCCATATTCTCGCCAACAATCACCACTGCGACTTCATTAATAGTGGGAGCATTAAATTCTCTTGCATGGCATCCAGTGGGCCTTTTGTCAGCGCTGATAATGATTTTGTGGTCGTCATAATGGGGTTTTGAACAATCTGACCAATTCATTACGCTCATGCAGAAGATTTTGCAATTGTTGTATAATTTCACGTTTAGTTGCATTGAAAATTGCACAACGCTGATTTGTTCATCTTCCGAATCACCAATGAAGTAGATCTGAAGGAATTTATGACCTTTGTTTGGTGGTGGTAACAAAGCGCCCGCTCGATGGTGAATTTGCCCTTGAATCTGAATGTTGGGATGCAATTTTGAAAAAAATGAAATAATAAAGAGACGCCATTACCTTATAACTCGGATTGTAGCCTGGTTGATGAACAACCTCGGCTCCAAATGACGTCATTTGAAAGCATCCGTTATATTTTTGTGCAAGCTTTAGGAAACTGTTTGATTGGGCTGAATTTCCATATAGTAGCGAATACAATGGTTTTGGTGGATGAGCCAAAACGGGCAATTTAATTTTGCCACCTGCACTGCATAAGCCGGGGGTTTCCAATCGAAACTTCAGTGCATTGCAATGCTGACATACGACAGACAATGAACCAATAACAACGCAGCTATGATCTTTGTAGGGTGTTTCGGAATCGTATGCGAATGCAGCGCGATTCAAGTTTTCATTTGCGGCTGGTCTTCTTCTACTCACATTTTGTCGGGCTTGAGGTGGTCTTTGAAGCTGTGCAATCGGGCACGTGTCGATGCATTCATTTCTGCACGTACCTCTTGCGTTTGATTATTACGGACATTCTGAGAATGTATCGCATTGCGTGAACGCCGTCCAAGTCTTGATCTAAAAGGAGGCATTATTTCCAATTAAAACTTTGGCAATGTTTCGTTAGCTCGATTTTTTACAGTTTTATGTACAACAATGAATTCATCTCTTGAGCCGATAGCGACTTTTCCGGCAGGTTTTCCCAAAATTTTCTTATGTAT